TTCTATTTCTTGCTTCCTAGCTTGCTAAACCAGCTAGCTAGGACCTGCAGAACAATAAGGTGCGGGCATGGTGTTTAGGGGCACCCCTCTCATTCCTGATCACAAATGCAATGCTTCTAACATTTCACCACTAAATGTAATAGTTACCCTTTTGTTTCCTCACTTGCTGTACATTTTAAAGAAGTATTTAAGGGCCAGGGATTTAGCCCAGTGGTTCCACCACCTGCCTTGCAAGTGCTAGGTCTCAGGTTCGATCCCCAGTACCAAAAAAAAAAGTATTTATGCTTTATGCATCTACTGAAAATAGTTCTTTGTAAATTAATGTTTATATAGTTAATGTATTAATCAACTTTCTAATATTAGACCAACATGATGTTTCTTTGAGGTTTTGTAGAAGCCACCAAAAACAACTACCTATGTCTGTTTTCCATATGAAAACATTTAACTAAGGATTCAAATTTTCAAAATGGCTTTCTACCTCTCATTGAGTCAGTTTGGTTTAATAAATTTTCTCAGCCAGACATGGAGGCACACACCTGTAATCCTAGCACTCTGGGAGGCTGAGGCAGGAGAATTGCAAGTTCAAGTCCAGCCTAGGCAACTTGAGACTTAGGAAGATCCTGTCTCAAGATAAAAAAATAAAATCTGGCATTTTAGATTGGTCTGAAGGCCCTGACTTCAATCCCCAGTACTGACATAAACAAACAAACAAACTGATTCTTCTTATAGTATCATCTTTGATCAATTTAAAAGTGGTTTAATGTTTTCAGGTGGTTTTTGTTTTTTTGGTTTTGGACTGGGGATTGAACTCAGGGCCTTGTGAGGCAGGCATGGTGCCACTGAGCTAAATCCCCAGCCGTTTTCAGTTTTGTTTTTTTAATATATATTATCCATTAATTATGTTGTAGACAGAAAAAAGCAACTTGGAGGCTGCACGGGACATACTCTGAAGAGCAGGGTAGAAGCTGGGAAACATGGCAGGTGGGAGGTGGGGTGAGCCCCATATGGGTGAGGAGAGGGGACACCCAGGGGAGAGGGATGGGAAGCCTGGCTTAGGCCTAAGGAGGGCATCCAGAAGAGATGTCCCGAAGGTGGAGGGACATGTGGGAGGGGCCTGGGCTGTAGCAGGTCTGGGCTGATGGCTGGAGTCACAGGCACAGCCAAGGACCACTTGGGTGTGTGGTGAAAAGAGGCCAGAAATTGTGACCTAAGCCATCCTGAATTGTATACTGGCATCGTTGTCATCTGTTCTATTAATACATGTCACTGTGTCTCCTTTTCCAAGGGCATAAGCATAAGGAGGTGACCATGCCTGCCTGCCATTGCTACTGGCCCTAAGTGTGTGCTGTCCTCCTGCCAAGCATTCTTTTGTGTCCTAGGCTGTGGCCATAACCCCAGTCCCCTTTTGAGCAAGAAGGGAACATGTGAGCCCAAGTCACTTTCTCAGAGCAGTTATAGTCAGGGGCAGGGGCCACAAACAGTCCTGACCTACTTAACGTTTTGCACCTGTCCTGTCCCACTGTGCCTTCTCCACGTGCAGGTTCTGACAGCTGCTGCGCTTTTCACTGAGAGCCTGGGGCCCACTTGGCCCACCTCCCCCCAGACAAGGGACAGGGGGTCGTGGGTGCGGCAGGTAGCAGGAGTCAGACCAGTTTCACCTGGTGATCCGGGAATTCAATGTCCCTGGTGATGCAGGATCCCTGGGGACATGGACAGAGGTGACTCTGGGAGGACAGTGCACCAGGCCTGCACTCAAGCCCTTTGTTTCCTTCTGTCCCCTCCGTGTGTGTGAGACACACACACACACACATACACACACACCTACCAGGCGCTCTGCCATTCAGATCATCGACTCCTTTGTCCCTTCAGCCTGCATCCTTTGCAGTATAGCAGGTGTTACCACAGCCAGAGCCTTGTATGGTCACTGGGAGAGCGGACAAGGCTAAGTGAGCAACAGAGCACAAAACGGATGGCAAGTGGTGTTATTATTCAGGATCTCAGTGCATTTCCCAACCTTGCCTGGCAAAGTGGGTGCTACCATCCCCACTGCTTCACAAGCGACCTGGCTCAAGGTGACCAGGACATATGGCCAGCAGGGGAGGCCTGACACATGGTACAGTCTCCACTTGCCAGACGCAGGGCTGGGTGATGTCACCCTCCCCTCCCCCACCCGGAATCCAGACTGGAAATGGCTGGGCTGGGGTTGGTTCTGGAAGCTGCCAGGGCCAGGGGTGGGGGAAAGGACCGAATGACCTCATGGGAGACCCCAGGATGCTTAGGTTCATCCTAGTGACTGGGTGCAGGGTGGCTCTGGGGTCTCATCTGCACACAGGTTCTCCTGCAGATATCCTTGATTTCCCTAACAGGTCCATGCATGCTGTGTCACCCCTCCCCTAAGGAGCTAGGGCCAGAGGACCAGTGACTTCCTAGCACCTGGTGTGTGGGTGTGGAGGCTGCAAGTCACAGACCCAGGCTCCCCTCCACACCAGGGGATTGTAGGAGAGGGCAGTGGTGGGTCTTCCAGCTGGCATAGGGAACACGATGCTGCCGGGTGGGGAGCTGGTGAGATGCAGCACCATGGGGCAGGAACTGGGGCTCTGCCATCTCTACTTGTGCCAACTTGTCCTAGAACCACACAAGCCCCCCAGGCTCTGGGTGGGCACTGCTAACCTGGCCTGGGCCTGATCAGCTGGCTGACCTGCAGAAGCTGTCAGGCGGGTCAGCTGCCAGCTGCCCAGCTGTCTCTTTAAAGTGACTTTGCATTTCTCTGCTCACATTCATCTGGAATCACTATCATCCTGTAACAGTCTGAATTTTGTTTTCCCAAGTATTGGAGTTCTCCTGTCATCCCTACCCTTTATACCTGTCTTCATCATGTTCTTCCCACCCTCTCCTCAAAGATTCATTCCAATTTATTCTAACTTATAGGTCAGACCTACAGCTTCGTTTCTGTTTTTAAGAATAGCTGTTGATTGTTTCTGACTCTCAAGTTAGTTTTTAGCTGCATCCCCAGCCCTTTTAAAAAATCATTAAAACACTGTCTCTCTAGCTCACTAAGTTGGGCTTGAATTTCTGATTCTCCTGCCTCAGTCTCCCAGAATCCTGGGATTATAGGTGTCTCAGGAGTGCTTAAGGCCCCAACATTTTCCCCAAAAGGCTAAAAAAGCCATAGCAGACAGGAGTCCAGAGCCTTCCATGAGAGGCCGAGGCAGGTGGACCCTTGTCCTGCTGCATAGCACCAGCCTGTGGTCTGGAGTCATCATGCATCCGGGTGACAGGGACCTACCAGGTTTGGTGTCTGCACTAAAAGACTCTGAGTCATTTTTTCAACAGTAAGTACAGAAAGGAAGAAACTAACTAAGCTTTTCCTCCTTCAAATCACCGACGGTTAACAGGAACCTACATCAATAACATCTGGGGCCCCAGGCAACAAGTGCCACATGGCCAGGGCCAGGCACATGAAGGATGTGGCAGGACAGGTGTCACTTAGACACTAGCAGATGCCAGGCAGCCAACATTTCAAGTCCCTCCGGGGCCAAGACAGGAATAAAACACAAACCATAACCTCAGAAACATGACAATCCTGAAGCTAAGATAAGAACACGACAGAAGATATGTGACAACACCACTGAAGCTCTGAAGCACAGAAGAGGACAGGGTGGGAACAGGCCGTGGCCAGTGTAGGGACAGAAGCCACTTGGGGGAGATGCTGGCTGGCATGCGCTGGGCAGAGGGACTGTACAGCCCTCAGCTGGCTTTCAGATTAATCTTGTGGCTGGCATAGCACGGGGAAAGGGGACCTGGAATTAGTCCTAAAGGTCTGGGCAGGAGGCAAGAAGGAATCTGGCCCTGCAGGTGGCTGGTGCCGAGGATCTCAGGGTCTGGGGACCATGGGAAGGCAGGGAGGCTGTGTGGATGGGCAGAGGAGGAGCTCAGCCTGAGCCTTCAGTGGCCACATGCTGTGTGCTGGCAGCAGCTGGGGGAGGAATCTGACAGCAAAGGCGGCCTTGTCCCCACCTCAGATGTGTGCTCTGGCCTGACAAATGAGCACCTAGACTTTGGCCAGACACAGTGGTACATTTAACTACTCACCAGGGCTTGACCTCAAAAAAGGCACTGAAAATGAGCAAACAGCACTCATTGGACTAAACCTGCAATTAAATTTCTCCGAGAAAGGAAGTCCCCAGCCAGGTGTGGTGGTGCACACCTATAATCCCAGCACTCAAGAGGCTGAGGCAGGAGGATCACGGAGAGTTGGAGGCCTGTCTGGGCTACATCAAGACCCTGTCTGAAAACAACAAAAAAAGGAAGTCCTGACAGAGGCGCCAAGTTCAGTGCAATATGTTGGTCAGAGACCAGCTGGGCACAGGGGATGCTTCCTCCTAGGGGTGGGCACTGGCGGCACCAGGGCCACAGCTACAACCTCCTTCCCAGTCATCGTTCCTGGGTTCTCTCGAAGTCCTGTCCCTTCCCAACCCCCTCGGGCAGAGCTGGCAAGGAAGGTCCAGCCTCCACGGGGACACATAGGCCCCTTGTCCCCTGGGAAGCCCGGTAGGCCAGGTGCCAGGCAGGGAGGACCCTCAGGCCTCAGCCTGTTCCGACCCAGTCATGTGGCGCCTAGCCAGGAGCTGGGCGGAGGTGGCCAGTTCTGGAAAGCTCATTCCAGAGACTTGGGACAGAGTTAGGGGGTGGGGTTAAGACAGAAAGATGGGGAGCCGTCTCCATCGCCAGCCCTACGAAAGAGGGAATGGAGAAGCAAAGAAAAACCTGGCCTTCCTCTGGGCCCCAGTCCAGCTGTCCAGCCTCCAGGCCAGTCCCTCCCCGGTGTCCCCAGCAGGGGGCACTGCAGCTTATCTGAGGCTGAGAGGTACCTGCCCACTCCCAGACCCAGGCCCACCCTGGTGAGCCTGAGCTGGGTCAGGTTCATGCCTGATCAGGCTGCCTGTGTTCTCCCTTCTTCTCCAAGGCACTAAGCCCTGGCCAGAGGACATGGGGAACCATGGAGAAAAAAAAAATTTATTTAATCAGCCTCAGAAGGCTTCTGGCTTGTGTTGAGTATAAAAAAGGCAGTAAAATGGCAACTGTACAGGGCGCGTGATGGCTAGGGACAAGGTGAGGGCAGAAAGGGAGAAAGGAGGGGAAATCTGAGATCAGACCATACAAAGGTTAGTCCTGGCCCCCAGCCACCCATGACATGGGCAGACGGACTGAAACAAAACACAGGCTTGCGCCTGCGGGGCCTACGCCTCTCCCATCAGAGCCATCAGTCAGAGCCCATGCCCCCTCGGACTCTTGGTGCACATCCTCAATGTCTGCCCACTTGGACCCCCTCCCCAGGCCTGGACAGCCGAGCCCTGCGAAGAAGAAAGCAGGAGTTGGCAGAAGAGGAGACCTGCAGGCGTGCCGTGCGTCCCCCGCAGGAGGAGATGAGGGGCAGGAGGTAGGCAGGCCGTGCGGTCCTCAGCCTACCAATGTCACACAATGGCCCGGAACAGGAAGGAGAAGATGGCTCCCAGTGCCAAGCCCAGGGACAGGAAGAAGGCCATGATGGCGCCCGCGGTCTCTGCCTCAGCTGGCTTTACTTTCCTGGGGAAAGGAGGATGACACTTCCTGAGGACTGCCCAGAGCGCCCAATCCTGCTGACCACCCACTCCGAGCCTGACCTGCCTCTCCCTTGGGGCACAGGTCCCCCCCAGCAAGCCTGGGCCTTCCAAGGGATGCCCCTGGCCCAGGGCAGGTCCTTTCACCCTCCAGCTCTGCCAGGGTCCCAGGGTGGTCCAGGCCCTGCCCCACACACTCACTTGGGCCCAAAGCACATGCAGAGGCTGGCAAGGTAGCCGTTGGAGAAGGCGAAGGCGGCCATGAAAAGGATGTACCAGGCATCATGCTCAAAGAACACACTCATGTAGTGGCGTGGCTGGACGTTGCACAGCAGCAGGAGTGGCACGAACGCCAGCCGGGCCACCACCAGGCTCGGCAGCCAGCGGCTGTCCTTCCCTGGCTATGGGCACAGACATGGCCTCAGCAAGGGTGCAGGCCTCACAGTCCCATTAGGGCCCTCTGGCTACACATGAATTATGTCTGAACTTTTAAGATGCTCTGCTGCTAGATGTGATGGTGCATGCCTATCATCCCAGGTACTCAGGAGGCAGAGGCAGGAGGATGGAAGTATTTGAGCCCATCCCAGGCAATTTAGCGAGATTCTATCTCAACATAAAACATAAAATTTTAAAAAGGGGCGGGGGGCTGGGAATGCAGCTCAGTGGTAAAGAGTTTGCCTAGCATCATATGCAAGGCTTTGGGTTCAATTCCCAGTACTGCAAAAAAAAAAAAAAAAAAAAAGGAGGGTCCCCCTCCACTCTTTCTCGGGCTCCCTTTCCGTGCCTCAGGCTGGACCCTTCCTCCCACAGAGGCCTGGTGTCCCCCACACTCACCCACGTGAAGACAGCTGTGAGGCTCCGGCCCAGCCAGTCAAAGATATTGAAGACCAAGAAACAGGACACCGGGCTGAAGTATTTGGCTAAAGAGACGGGAGAAGCAGCCTGGCATCTGAACCTCCTGGGACCAGCATCTCCAAGTGCACAGTGGAGAGGGCACTTCTGGCCCTGGGAAGAGCAGCTGGGCCGAAGAGAACCCGGGCTCCTCTCTACCCTATACGGGTCCCGTACGGGGCTCTCTGTCCCATGCTGGAAACCCAAGCATCCTCACCCCAGGTTCTGTTGCCCACAAAGCTGGACTTGACCTCCGCGGTTACAGCGGGAAACAGCCCGATGGTGATGGTGAAGATGAAGCAGACGGAGAGGGCCAAGACTGAGATCTGGAGGGAGGGGAGGTCTCACCCAGGGCTCTTTGTCCCCACAGTGGCTGTCATTCAGGAGCCAAGAAACACACACACACACACACACACACACACACACACGCACGCACGCACGCACGCACGCACGTACGCACGGGACTGGAGGAGCACCCAGGCTCAGCTCAGAAGGGAGTGGGCAGAAGAGGGAGGGCAAGCACAGGGAGAGAAGGCAGATGGGGACAGCGGGAATGCCTGGCTGCATACGTCTTTGAGGATTTCCCTGATGGAGTGGCTTTTGCCAGTGGGCTGGGAGCTGGGTGCTGAGACCACAGGTTCTTCCTTGCCTGCTTGTGGCTCCTCCCCTGGTGGGTGAGAGGCTGTGGAAGGATCTGCATTGTGGGCAGGACAGAGCAACAGGGGCAGTTAGGTCCCCCTTAACCCAGCCACAGCCCTGTCTTGACAACTCTCCTGAGGCCCCGATCCCTCGGGGCTCCAGGAGGCACCAGGAGCCCCAGGACATTACTGAAATCACTTCCCAGTACCTTTGGTCTAAGGGTTCATCCAGGGTTCCTGGTCCCATCTGTCCTCCCAGCCCTTACTTCCTGCTGTCCCTGCCCCTGGCCCTGTTCCCTTCCTCCTACCCTGGGTCACGGCTGCAGCTAAGACAGCATACCCATCTGTGTCCCCTCTGCTCCTGCTGCCCCGGCCCAGCATGCCACCCAACCCGGCCTCCTCAGGCTCAAGACCTTTACTGATGAGGTCCAGCTTGGTCTCGTGCTCCCCTGGGCTCTCAAGCTTGAGTTGCTGGTAGTAGCGGTAGAACTCCTAAAGCAAAGGAGACAGGAAGGTGGCTGCCAGCATTCCAGCCTCCCCCAGGAGGGTCGGGAACCCTGGGCACTCCCACCATCCTTAAACCCCAGCTCCCTCCTCCGCTCACCAGTCGGGGCAGGGCCAGGTAGCAGAGAATGGCCAACAGGATCACCACACAAGCTGTGATAAAGTAGCCAAAGGCACTTTCCGACAGCTCCGAGCCACCTGGGGGGCGGTGTCTGGGATCAGAGACTGCCCAGCCCCTGCCCTCCACATTCCACCCTGGGTGACAGGTAGGAGGGATCAAGACTCACTGGCGATGGCACAGATCATGGCCACAGAGGAGAACAAGCCTGCCAGGCCCTGGCCGCTCATGATGGGGGCCGTGTAACTGGCGGGCAGAAGGCCAGCAAGGCCAAAGAGACTCCCTTGTAGGATGGCGCCAAATGCTGAGGACAGATGGGGTGAGCGTCGGCCGGGGTCCCCAGGACTCCTGCTGGCCCAGGTTCAGGCCGCTTGGGCCTCTGGGTCATCACTGCCCCCCACCCCCATCCCCATCTCCCTGGCCCAACCCAGCGTACAGTTGATAAACATGATCTTGATCATGGTGAGGACAAAGAAGGGCAGCGCGTCCATCTGCACCTTCACCACTATGGCAGTGACCAGGAACAGCAGCAGGATGGCCATCAGACTGCCAAGGATCCGCACGGACTGGGGGATCCTGCGGAGGAGAGGTCCCAGGGGAGCTGAGGGTTGGGAGGCCAGGCCCAGGAGGGCGCAGGAGGTGGGGTGGCCGCACTCACCTCTGGTGCAGGAAGGAGTTGAGGCAGGTGAAGAGCAGCAGAGGCAGCATAGCGCACAGGGTCATGACGTTGTTGAAGATGCCACTGAGGGTGTTCCGCTCTGGCAAGGCTGCCGTGGGGGCAGCTGAGGGCTGGGGGTCCCCTCTCTGCTTGGCGGTGACTGAGGAGGCATTCTTGGGCCCTTCCAGGCGGGTTATGAAATACTGTGGCGGTGAGGCAGGAGCGTTGGAGCCTCGGGCTTCTCCTGGCACCCAGGGTACTTGCCATCCCCCTGGCTGGTCCCCAGCCTCACCTCAAAGGCGGTCATGAAGAAATTCCAGGGGAGCAGCGTCCCCAGGCCCAGCATGAAGAAGATAAGCCAGACGGCCTTGTATCTGGGACAGGAGGAAAGAGAGGCCAACTCACCCACTGTCCACCTTCCTCCCTGCCCTTGGTTCCCCAGCCGGCCCAGGGCAAAGGGCAGCCATGCCATTCTCTCGTGGGGTGGGTGTGTGCAGGTCCTGGGCCAGGACTCAGGATGAGCTGGAGGGAAAGGGGCCAGGAACACAGGACCTCGGTTCTTAGTCTCTGGAGACACTGCAGGCCGTGACACCCTCATTTAGGAGACACCGGAACCCTGAGAGCCAGGGGTTGGTGAGGGACAGCAGACACTGAGCAGGCTGGAGTGACAATACGTTTGGGCAGGATCTTCGAGTGGGCTCCGTGAAGTGGCTCTGGGGTCGAGAAGCCCCCAGACAGCTCTGGGCCCAGTGGGGTGACTCAGGGCGTCTGGGAAGTGAGAAGGCCTCCCTGCTTTCTCCTGGTCCAGACAGCACTGCCTGTGTAGGTCACAGTGCCTAGGGAAGGCTGGGAGGTCTAGGGCACTGGATGCCATCCAGGTCCAGTGTAAATGTGGGCCACACAACTCTGACCAGGCCCTGTCCCCTAGGTAGGCTTTGCTTGTGAGCCCAGTGACTCAGTCTCCCCCACCAGTCTCCAGATGTGGCTGCCACACCCTCCCCAAGGCAGTGAGGAGTGGGTCTGGCCAGGGTGTGGGCCCGGCCAGGGTGTGGGCCCGTGGACTGCAGGGCCTCACAAGGGGCGGGGATGGGTGAGTGCCCGAGTGGGCGGACCCCAAAGTCCTCATAGGTCCTCCTGCAGTAAAGACACCAAGGGCCTGAACCCAGGCACAACTCCCAGGCAAGGTCATGCAGGTCAGGGCCAGCTGGAAAACCACAGCAGTCCAACTAGGTGGCAGAGAGGTGACCAGGTAGGGCAGCAGGTGGTGTGGGAACAGAGCAGGCAGGGGGTGCCTGAGCCCACATTGCTCAAATACCCTCCCCTCCAAACAGCCTGTGGATTTATTTTTTTTCAGTACTCAGGCTTGAACCAGGCCTTTTGCATTGAACTACATCCCAAGCCTTTTATTTTTCAGAGACAGAGTCTTGTTAGATCACTAAATTCCCCAAGGGGCCTTGAATTTGCAATCCTGCCTTACCCTCCCAGAATGCTAGGATCACAGGCATGTACCACCAGGCCTGGCTTAAGTGGATATTCTCGCTTCTATTCTGCAGAAAGGGGAATGGTCCCAGAGCAATCAAATGAAACACTCCAGACCCCGAAGTCAGGGCTCCCTGGTGGAGTGCTTGCCAAACAGGCATTAGGGCCTGGGTTCCACCCCGGGGACCATGGCGGTGGTAGATCAGTCAGATGTGCCTGAGTTTCATAGCCTTTGGCAAAGAAGGGACCTGGCATGGGTAGGGAGGCTGTGGAGGCTTCAGGGCCTGACACTGGAAAGTGTCATGGTTTTGCCAACTTTCTGAGTCCTGTCGGAGAACTTGAGTCAGCTCAGCCTCTCCCTCCAAAACACACATTCCCTGTCCTAACCGCAGGTCTGGCGGGAGGACTTCCAGGCCAGGAAGGGGAGGAAGGTCCAGCAAGGGCTGAGGTGATCTGGGGTTACGAGAGGCGGAGGCCCCCAGCAGCCCCGAGAGACTGGGCAAGTCCCGCCAGATGTGCTCTGGAATGAGGGGTGCTGCCAAGTGTCTCCCCGAAGCTAAGGTGGGAGGGTCCTGGCTGGAGAGCAACACTGACAGGCAGACAGGGACTGGTGCCACGCACCCTGCCCTTCCTGGGCATGCTGGGGACAGTAGCCAGCACCTTGCAGAGGCATGCATGCTCCCTGTTCTGATGCAGACCTCAGAGCCACTTGGCCACAAGGCCGGTGGCCAGAGGCAGCCCTGAGTCCCAAAGGACACAGCACCCAGAGCCTTGGAGATCCATGCCCTGGGTGCCCATCCCCATCCCTCCTCTGTCCCAGTACCTGTCCTGCGGCTTGTGACCAGTCGTCATGGTGCCAGTGTCCTGGGCTGTGCCTGGCCGACAACAGCTCCCTCCTTGTGGCGCTCACTGGGGGCAGAGGCACAGTGAGGCCCTGCTTCTTGCAGCCCTGACAGACAGGGGAGGAGGGGCAGGGCAGAGGGTAGACCCCAGGACCCCCAGGCCTTGCCCTTGGCCATCACCCCATGGGACCCCTGCCCGGCCCCCACCAGCCTGCCAGTCCTGCAGCCTCTGCCCGCTCAGCCTCTACCTGGCTCTCAGCCTGGCCGCTGCCATGCTATTTTTACCCAGCAGCCAAGCAGTTTAGAAGCTGGAAACAGAAGGGTGGAGAGCGGCAGAAGAGGAGGAGGGAGCGATTGGAGGGAGGGAGACAGTCAGTGAAGACAGGGAAGAGACAGAGGGTCAGGGATGGCAGCAATGACAGGGGAGGAGATCGCACAGGGAGAAGCACAGGGAGAACGCAGCAAGGACAGAGCGTGGGGAAGGCGGAAGAGAAGGCATGAAGCAGGAAAGCACCTACCTCTCCACCTTTCCTGAGCCTTGCGCCTCCTTGGATAGGCTTGGGGAGTCTGTCTGCTTAGAGGCGCCTGGACCCCAGCCTTACTACCAGGGTCACTGTGACCCTTTATCCCCCCACCTCCCCTCCCCAGTGCTTCCCAGTTCCTGACCAGTTTTCCAGAAAAATATTTCACAATGGACGTGGGGACACAGCCCTTCCCACAGCTCAGCCAGGCCCCTCCTCTGACCCCCAGTCTTGGCCCTGGGTCATCCCATCCCCCGCCCCAGTTCCTCTGTCTCGGTCTCAGCACCCTTATCCTCTTCCCCTTTCTGAGTGGCCTTGCAGGGAGACTGGAGGGGCAGAGAACAGGCCGGAGCCGTAGAGGCCAAAAGCTTCCCCAAGCCTGCCTCAGTGTCCCCCTCTACTCCGCACTGGCGGAGGGAGGCACCCCAGCATCCCCAGATTGAACAGCTTCGCTCTGGCACCCTCCTCCCCTCCCCACCACCCGCGTGCAGCACCCCATGCTCACCGACCACCTGGACCCGGAGGCAGAAAGCTGGGAGCGGAGGGGTTCCCAGCAGTCCCTGAGGGTGGTCCTGGCACAGGTTCAACAGGGGCTTGTCCGTGGGGTCCTGGGTGAGGGTCCAGAATGAGAAAGGTGGCACGAGGCCTATCAGGGGTCCATCCCTTGGGCCTCATAGGACCCCATCCTGAGAGGCCTTGCACAAAGCCTGGGAACACAGTGCTGGGCAGATAAAGGCCGGTGATAAGGCGGCTGGGGGTCTGGGCTGGGGCCCGGTGGTCAGTGCTCAGGTACAGCACCTCGGGCAGGGAGACACACACACACACACACACACCCCCACCACCAACACCACCAACACCACCAGTCACCCAGCCCCTCAGCAGGCCTCTGTACCCCAGCCAATGACGTCACCCCTAGTCCCCCAGGCCTCCTCGGCCCACAGTGGGCTGTAGACACGGGTAGGATGGAAGCAGAGGATGCCTTCCAATCCTGCTGCCGTGGAATGCTTGCTAAGGACCTCACCTGCCAGCCAGGCACCATTCTAGGCCCTGTGACACAGCAGTGAACACTACTGATGTTTTCTAGAGGGACAAGGACAAGACAGCTCTGCCCTGGGTGACTCGGGCTACAGCACAGTCTTCGCCCTGTGCCCACCCTACAGTGAGAGTCCTGACAGCTGACAGGGCACGCAGCCTCCAGCTAGCCAGGAGATTGGGAAGGGCGGACGCAAAGCCCCTCTCTCCCACCATCCAGGCTTTGTCTGCAGCTCTTCCCCTGACTCCTGGAAGCCCCAGCCCTGTTCCCTCTGCTCTGTGTCCCCACCCTGCCCTGGGCACCAGGGATCTCCAGAGGGCCCGTGGCCTGGCCCACAGCCCGGCATCACTGGCATCCTGCTCCTGCCCATCTTTGCCCAGCACTGGGATCTGATACCAGCCAGAGCATCTGGTGTCCTGTAGCCTGCCCTGGCCTGTCTCCACAGGTCGAGGCAGCCACCAAACCCAGCCCTCCCACTGCCCCAGGCTCCTGGACACCTCCCCTGGACCCCAACATTTACAGAAACCTCTGTGTCACATCAGGTCCTCCCTGCCTGTGACCTGCACTGGCCAATCACTACCTGCAGAGCCCCTCTTTCCTCCTACACCCCAGGTATTCCCACAGAACAGACCAGGGCAGTGGAGGCTCAGAGAGGTTGAGTCACTCCCCTAAGGTCACAGAGCTACTGAGTAGGATAACAGGATTCAGACTCCACATAGCTGGTTCTCGGGTAGCTCTGGGGAAGGGTGGAGGTAAAGTGTGCTTGCCACTTGGCCTCATAGACTGGACTTCGGTGGAGGACTGTGCTCCAGCTAAAGAGAAAAAGTAAGTAACCAGGCCTGGTGACACATGCCTGAAATACCAGCTACTCTGGAGGCTGAGGCAGGAGGGTAGAAAGTTTGGGCCCGGCCTGGGCAACTTAGTGAGACCCTGTTAAAAAATAAAAAATAAAAAAGGGCTGGGGATGCAATTCAGTGTGAAGGCCCTAGGTTCAATACTGCAAAGACTAACACTAACAAAAATAAATAAAAAGGGCTAGAGATGTAGATCAGTCAGAAGGCGCCAGGTTCAATCCCCAGTACTACAAATAACAGTGGTAATGGTAATAATTTAAAAGTAAATTAAAAGGGCTGAGGCTGTAGCTCAGTGGTACAGCGCCCCAGTTCCACTCCCAGTTTCACAAAAACAAAAATAAATGAGGAAAGCGGGTGGTGTCCCAGAGGGTCAGGAGCAAGGGTCCGGGGGTGGCCGGGTCGGGAGTTCGGGTTGCGGGCGGAACCCACGCCGCTGCCCGGGAAGGACCCAGGTTGGGGACCGGGCGCGCGCGGTGAGCAGCCCAGGCCGAATGTGGCTGGCGCCCCGACCCCGGCGTCCAACCCGCGCTCGCGATCCAGTACCCTCTGCAGCGCCCTGGGCTCGGCACAGGGACACCGGCTGGAAGACAGCGGGTTTTGGCCGGGGACCCCGCGCCCGAGACACGCGCGCCACGTGCTCGCGCCCCCGCCCGCCAGCTCTCCCTCTCGCGCCTCAGGGAATGGGGCCCCCCGCCCGGTCCCCGCCGCTACCCGGTCCCCACGGGTCGCCCCTCCGCCCCTCCGCCCCTCTGCCCCTCCTGGTCGCGCAGCACCTGCTCTGCGACTCCTCCGCGGACCTGGCCTTCCGCGCTTCCCGCGCCTGCCGAGCCCTTCAACCCGCCCTGCGCCCCGCTGCGCCGCCCCCGTCCGGGCGACATGCGCCGGCCCCGCCCCGGCCCCGCCCCGGCCCGGCTCCGCCAACCAGCGGGGGCACACAACCCCCATGGGACACCCCGTCCCCCACCAGACACACCCTCGCCATCAGCCCGCCCCCCAGCATCCAGTTATCCAGCACTGTCCGAGCACCCCACCTCTCCTCTCCCCAGCGCCCCCTTTTCATTATTCCTTCTTTTCAGAGCCCCCTTTTCCCTTCCAGGAGGCTCCTGCCTCCCCATATCCCGCGTGGAGTCCCCCGACTTAGCTGCTTGGAGCCCTGCGTGGTGGGCGGTGCTCCCCAGACCCAGACAGACCGCCGGACCTCCAAGACACCCGGCAACCCACAACCCACCTCCAGGCCACCTAGGGCCCTCGTGTGTGTGTGTGTGTGTGTGTGTGTGTGTGTGTGTGTGTGTGTGTGTGTGTGTGT